GAAAGAGAAGCAAATCTGAACTACTCCTTCGTGAGAACATTGTCAGAAAAATTTCCATCCAGAAAAGACAAGCATTTACTGGCACTAACTGACCATAGTATCTAGATAGCCCCAAAAGGAAAGAGAGTTGAATTTACCTTGGCAGCCAGTCCTTGAAGTCCTGTTAATTTGGAGGAGCAATACAGAAATGGGACTCACGCTTTGTCCGCTGTTTTGCTCATCTCTAGATCCTCCAAGAAACCCAACTGCTTGAAAACCCCTTTCTCTTTTTTCTTCCCCCCTCCTCCCGTCATTTTGTAATCCACAATGCAATCACAGCACAGCTGTTCTGGGAGATTATATGGGAAGTGATTGGCGCTGCTGGCTGGGATTTAGTGCAGAAGAGTGGCCTGTATTGACTGAGTAGAAAGTTTCTGTAAAACACAGAAAGATCTCAGACATCCCCATGTGGTGGCTGTTTGGGAGCTTGTGTGGAGCGAGCTGGTGGCCCTCTGGCCAATGCCTCAGCGGATGTGTGACCTTAGCTCAGAAACTACCAGCACCCTTGGCCTCAGGTCACCCCTCGCCCTGTGCACTGTCTCAGCAGAATGGCAAAGGCCACAAGCCCCCCAGCCCTGGGATATCCTCCTGGCCAGACCTGCCAGCTGCAAAAAGGGGAGAAGACAAAAATGGGGAGAGGAAAGTCTATGGGGCTGCAGCTGCTCTGAGGACTGAGGATTTCAGACCCTGCGGTGACGCCAACCCAGGTCTCCCCGTGGGCACTGGAGACTTTAATGACAACAGGAACCCCTTAGCAGAAGCGCTGCTGAGTGGCAGACTGGCACCATGGCACCACCACCGTGACAGAGGTATGCGAAACCATGAGGAGTCAAAGAAGTCCAATACTCAAAGGATGGGAGCGTGGGGAAGACTGTCAGTGTCCGTCGTAGTGGCAGAATTTACCAAGGCGCGAAGTTCACCAGGAATCCCAGCTCTCAGCAGCCTCACATCGGATGAATATGGGAAGCTAGTAAGGAGAGACAGAAAGACTCACACTCACACGAAGTCCCCTCTGAGCTCTTGTCCTGAAAGTTTAAAGGCTCCCACAGTACCTGAGGGTGTTGATACACCTCATTTGGTATCAGAAACAGTGAAAAGTAAGAATGGTGTCACCTCTCATGAGAAGGAACTGTCACCAGAGGGCACGGAGCAGCACTGCCATTGAGTCAAACTGCAAGGGAGAGGAGCACCACAAAGGTACGCACCCAGTTCCCCACACAGGCTTTGCCCCGTGCCAAGCAGGTGAGGGTCCCACCACCACCATGAGGGAGCAAGGCAGATCCCCTGCACGCCTGCCCCACTGCTCAGCCGGGACAGAGGGAACCAGTGCTCCATCTGCTCTCATCCCTGGCTTCCACCACCAGAGCCCAGAGGCGGGGAGGCAGGGGAGGGGTTGGCTCTGGGTGACAGCACAGCCTGTGACAGCCCCGGCACCGCAGAGGCAGCAGATGCAGCCGACAGGTTCATGGGGTTGGCGTACGTGGGCTGTGCTACCACAGGCTTCTGACCCTTCCTGCCCTGAGCAGAAGGGTCCATAGCTCTGTGGCTATTTTAATCCTAGTCACTGCATAAGCTCCTCTAATATAGATAATCATTTCTAAGACAGGCTAACTGGAAGCAACACTAAATGTTTCTGTGCTCCATGGCCTGCCTTCAGGTTTTTTGATTCATAAAAAGGTTCTGTTTGACACAGATGTACTTAATTTACTGACATAGGTAGAATAACAGCTGATGCTGTTTAGAAGGAGAGTGGTAATTTTTTTTTTTTCCCCATTGTTCAGCCTCTCTGCATCTGGACACCTTAAGTTTGGCTTCTAAATGCTCAGGATTCAGCTGGTTTTCAGGCTCAAGAATAGCTAAAGTCCATCTCTCTACTGGTAATCCTTAACGTTAACATGTTCCTAATTTTAAGCTTGATGGGAGTCTCACTAAAATCCAGGATGCTAGAGGTCAGTTTCTAAAGCTGGGATCACAGCATATATATTGGTGAAATGAGACTGAATTAGATTTATATGGATAAGAATTCAGATTTAAAAATAAATTTATCAGAAATATGCTATGGTTTCAAAAATATGCGGATGTCAGATTTAGTATTCTGAATAATGGCAGATATTTATCCTTCCAGAAGATGGCAATCTTTCTCTAGTCTTCTTTTTGGGAGTCTGCTGCTCATGTGTGTGCTGGGGGGAAGCAACACCCAACTTTAGGCTTCTGTTCCTTCCCTTTATGTTTTTTCTTCCTCTATCTTCCTCTTTTTTTCCATTTCTGTGAACACAACCTCTTTACCTCACTTGGAGATATGGGGGGGTTGAATTATCTTTGAGTTATCTGAGCCTGAAGAGACTTCTGAAATCATTGGGGAAAGAAAAATGAGGAATAAATAGAGGAGCTTAGCAGGGCATTTGCTCTACCTTCTGCCCTGCAAGGAGTTATTCTTTCTAATACATTTCCTAATATTTTGTCAAGTACCATATTAACTTTGTCAACGTGTTTCCATCCCCAAATTATTGCACACAGCTCATAGAACATGAACACCGAAGCACATTTCCTGATGTTTGACAAACTTCCCTTAGCAAAATTGTATGGTGGTGGGCTTTTTTTTCCTTAAATCTCCTTTCCAACCTCGCCTTAATCTGACCAGTTAAGAACAGGAAAACCAAGCTGTATCTGTCTTTCACCCTCCTGTGCCTTCAAGTTTTCTCCTCTTTGAAAACTGGTATTTCCCACCATATCTTGGCTTGGCTAGAGGGTTTGGATGTCTCTTTCTCTTTGAACTCAGCAGCAGCCAGTCCCTGGTGACTTGTTTAAAATTCACCCATTGAAATAAATGCCCATAGCAGTCCATTTCCCGCGCAATCGGCCAAGTGCTTGGCTTATAAAAACAAAACAAGGAAACGAAATGCAAAACACAATCCTAGCACAACACCTCTCCTGAGATTGCCAACTCTACAGAAGCCCGGGCATTTACAAGTGATGCACTTTTATCCCAGCCGTACCACACACAAACAGTGTGTACCCTGCCCCAAAGCGGCATCCTCAACTCCCAGGGATGTTGGTGGAAAAGAAGGGC